TACATCTGATATGTTCCTAAGGGAAAAGAAATATACTTCTGAGTAGTCCATTGCTATATTTAAAATTCTGATTAAATGAAAAGAGCTAGAAATTATCGTTACTTGAATTTTAAAAAATTATTCTTGGCAAAAAATACAGTACAGTGACAAGAAGATCAGATTATTAGTTACTATGACTGCAATATTAATTGATTGCTAAGATGGAATGCCATGGGCCGTATCTTACTTGTTCCCACAACTGTCAATGGGAATTCCACTCATGGAACGAATAGAATTAAATAACCCAATCCTCCCCCTCTCCTTCCCACGCACATCTCTTCCTCATACTGCATCTACTTAATAGGCTAACGTTATATGAGCAAAATAAGTGTATGTAACTGAAATTCTGACTTTGTATTGAAAATAAGTACTTTTTCTGGCACATTGTGGTAGAGCTTTTTTGTTTTGTTTATTATCATTTTTAGGTGTTGCTTAGCTTTAAGGGAGAAAAAAATTGAAGTGTATGTCTTGATATAGTAACACGTATTTAATTCAACTAGGATATTGGAGTTCATGCCTCCTAGTTGAATGAGATTGATCTCTAGAGTTTGGCTTTAGAATAGAAGGTAAATACCCTCCATCTCTGAACTTCAGTGTGATTGATTTGGAGGATGAGGCTATGGATCTTGCAGTCACTCCACTCCAAGTCAGATGTTCTAGCCTTGTGTTTGACAGCTATGGTACTTATTATTTTGCTCATTAATTTATCCAATGGCATTTTTGAACCTATGTAAAAGTCTACATATTGCAAAATGTTGCAAAATTATATGACAATTTACAAATTAATTTTTACAATTTACAATTAAAAATTATATTGCAAAATCTTGTAAAAATCCCTGTAGCATTTGTTAGGAAGTTCAGTGATTTAACTATGTTTGTCTGTTTTGATGCTGTCTTCTGATATCATTGAATCTTTCCCCCTCTTTAAAAAAAAAAAAATAATGTAAAGGCATCCTGAATAATCAGCTATAATAATAATTTAACTAGTAATCTGTGATTCATAAAGTGGTAAGTTAGAGCAAGAAGTCTACACAAGAGTAGAATTACAGAATGCAGAATTTATAAATATATTTTCCCTTTATCTGGGCAGTAATAATTTTCATTAGTCAAAAACCAAACACCAATAACTTCCCGTTGATTCACTGATTTACTGAAGCTTTTGAAAGTTGTTATTCCCAAGTAGATATTAATTAAACTAGCAGTAATATAAACACTCAGTAATGAAAATGTTCTGAATATACACTTCAGATTGTTATGGTTTTTCCCCGTAATTATAAACACTGTTGTATTCTATAATTTATTCAAAAAATTGATGATGTTATAATGCTCAGTTATTGCATCAGAGCAACGTTGTAATACCTCTGCTCAAAGAGTCAACCCATTTTGCAGTTAAGTTCTGAGCAACAGAAGCGGTAACAGCAAGAAATTCAGGCACACAGGGGCTCTGTGATTTACTTCACGCATTCACTGCAGTCATGTACATCAGTAGACTAGGGACCAGCAAACAAGCTGCAAAATGGTTTGACATAAAAAGATCAAGATCCATGTAAAAAAATATAGTGGTGGCCGATCAAAAACTTGTGAAAAAGAAAATTCTAGCTATTATTGTAATGTAAGTGTTACAGTACTGTTAGTGCTTCTAGTTAATGTGAACAAGTTCTGATACTTCTGAAGATTCTTTTTGTTACATTTAGTAAAATTTATATGTACACATATGCGCATTTTGTAAATAGTAAGTAAAATTACTGATAATTTGGTGGATTTATGTCTCAAGGTATAAATTTGCTTTATTTGGGTTATTTTAAAGAAGTGTTTTCACAATCAGCAAGTTAAAGGTGAACAATTACATGTATTTCACAGAATCCACAGTTTTGTGTGTGTATACATATGTATGCACACCCATGGAAATATAATGGAAAGACTATATTTTATAATCAAGATATACTTAGATGAATACAAATTGACAAAAGTTATCAATTATGAAATGAGTTGAATATTGGATTCTAAGAATCTGTGAAAATTAAGCATAGTTGGTATGGTGCAATATATAGCCTAATTTCTTTCCTTTCCTAAATAAAATTACCATCAAATTATAGATCCATCTAACCATCCATTTATTCAGATGTGTAGACCCATATGTAAGCCCTGTCCCCGTGATTACATAAGAATGGCAATCATTAGTGAATTTATTCAAAGGCCATTTCTAGCAATGCTTATGCCATGAATAATTTTCTCCGGTATGAATCTTATTCTTCAAAAGGTCAGGAAAGTGTGAAAAATAGACAGTTCCAAGATGAATAACTAGCCCTTGTTTCCTCTCCTTAAATGTTTTTTTCAGTTAGGCTTCTGAAATAAACTAGTTCTTTTTGAGAAGTTACTAAGGTTATGTATTGAGTGATCTGTAAGAACTTGTACTTACAAAGGATTGTGCTTACAACGTAATTCTGTGTTGCAGTTGCTTTCCTATTTCAGTAGGAACCAGAGACGCGGATGCTCTCTCTCTCCCATAGCACATTGTTCATTCACCTCTCATCAGAAAGTAGTGGTCCCATGAAAATTACTTGTTAAACAAACACTTTTTTCAAATTATATTTTCTCTCTCCTGTCTTCATAAAGTAACTCCTGTTACTGTCATTTGCAGACTGAATAGTCCTGCATGCTCTGAGGCAGCCTAATGCCTGTAGTCCTTTTATCACTGGAAATTTCATCTCATTTGAGTAACAGTTGGAATAGTTACAAAAATATGTTTTAGGGATTATAAGATTTATTCCTGATTACACTACAAATACACAAATGTCAAATATTCCTCAGAAATATAAATGAACTGATCTCTCCAGGGATATTTAATAACAGTGTTAGACTAGTAGGGATTTAAGTGGACTATAACATAGTTCTTAATTTAGGGAATAAAATAAATTTATAGCCTTTGACCTATGGCGAGTGTCAGCCTTGGTTCAGTTTTGCAAGATAATTTGCCCAAATCCTTTCCTCTATACAAGTCCTCCTCCTCCAAAATAAATTCCTGACTTTTGGCTTGTGTACCACTGTCAGAAAATCTCATAATTCTTGTCCATTCTGCTCCTCTTGCACTCTGTGTTAAAGAGCCTTCTGAGTCTCATAATTTTATGTCCCTAAAAACCAGGAACATTCCTGCTGTTCTTTCAGTAAACAGTGTTGTTGTTGGGTGCATTTTATGGATTTATTTTTTTTTAAACCGCGGTTGATAAGTCTCACAAAATATGCTGCCAGCCATATGAGCTGCTGAAACTGAGAACAGCGCAGATGAGCACAAATATACTATGTTCACTGTTCACAAATAGCTTATATGACACTTCTGGTATCATCCTTCCTTCTAGGCATCTTCCTATAATCCCTCAGATAGTATTAGATTTACAAGGGGATTCCTTTGAACTATACTGTATTTAGGCTTTTCTTCACCATCCATATTGCTGCTCCATTTCTCTACATGCCAGGGAAGACCTGGATTAAACATTATTTTGAAAATGTCAAAGAAGAAAAACAGAGAAAGCAAGAAGTGTGAAAGAGCCACTGAATATGTATGAAGAGAGAGTGCACAAATAAGGTGAAGAATTAACAGTTATGCTAAGAGTAGAAAGAAAAGACGGTGGCAGAGGTGACAACATGAAATTGGAAAAGGAAGGGATAATTTTCCTCTCCCAAAACCCCATCTGCAAATGTTGTTAGTTGAATTCTCACCAAATATATTTCCCAGGAATTCTGTTCACTCAGAAAAGACCCAAGTTTTAACGTGACTAGTGGATTGTCCAATAAGAAAATCACACTCAAAAATACTTTGTCCATCATAGCTTTGTGTCCAGTTCATGCAAATTCGAGCGGTTTCAGACATTACCAAAGAAACAGATCTATGTAATCAAATAATACTTGCAATTCAATTGGTACCACTTTTAATAAAAAGGGTGGCATGCTTTACATATGTTCAGACCATCTTAACTCTGGGGTTTCTTGTATAATTGCATGAAGGAAAACTTGTTATCTGACTAAATAAGGGATTTGGTTCTTGGAAAACCCCAGCAGGCTGAGTGATATGGGCAAATAAAAGCAAGAAAAAGGTTGCGTTCCTACATCTGGTAGGTTTATAGAAGTGTACAATTGAATTTAGGCATTGAGTCTGTTTTAAGAGAATATTTGATTACATGTTTCTTCTAAATAAACTGATGTCCAATTCAATTCTATTGAAGATTCTTTTTAATACTCTTTCTTGGAGGAATGCATAACTTTTCTAACTTTTTCAACAACTAAGAACTGTGAAAGCTGACTTGTAATCCAATCTTGTATAATTTTTTTACTGCTATGATTTTTTTACCCTCCCTTCAATAGTAATACAGATCTCCACACAGAAGGAATTAATTCTCTTTAATACTTTTATTGCACTGGAATTATGTGATGAACATGTATACAGGGTGCTCATTGAAATGCATTCTCCATAGCATTGCTATGTAATACAATTGTGTGTAAGTATCAAAACATTTTTTGTACCATTTTGGAGGACAGATCAGGTGTATCACTGGTGTTCTCAGTTACAGCAGCAAACCCTCTTTCTATAGGTTCTCATGTCAGCCTCTGTTTTAGACCTCTTTGGATTTCGTAACTCATTGATTACATATCACTCTACCAAAGCTGGGACATCTTTGTAGAAAAATCTACACTTGCATTTACTTGAATATCTTCCATTTGAATATCTTTCCCCTTTTGGAACATGAGCAGGGCGAGAGGGGGAAGATACCTTCTGTGCCCAGCTTCCCGCTGGCCTCGGTATGTCTACCAGAGAAGACATTTAGTGATGTGCTGAGTCAATTCTACAGACAGCCTCCACTCCTGTTAAATTAAGTTTTGATAGCTGTTCACGTGTCTATACTCCATTTGCCTCAGTCTATCATCTTCTCAGTTACCTGTTATTAATTTTTTTTTTTTTTTTGTAGAAAGCTTTTGGACACTGAAGATGAGCTCTCTGATATTGAGTCAGATTCGGTCCCGCTGGAAGTGCGGGACTGGTTAGCTTCTACATTCACGAGGGAAATGGGAATAGTGAAGAGGAAGCCTGAAGAAAAGCCCAAATTTCGAAGCATTGTGCATGCTGTGCAGGCTGGGATTTTTGTAGAAAGGTGAGAGCTTTGTTTTCTTATTATAGCAAGGACTGCATTTGACCACAGTGTCTGTAGTTGAAGATCCCTTAAGAGGTGAGATGAACCTGAAGCAAATCTTTGAGCCAAGATTTAGGTTTCAATTTCTGCAATCACTGTATTTTTCTATACAGAAATCTAGGTGCAACCTCTAAATTTGTAATGAAATTTCCTGGACTTTGGAAAATTCTGGGAATGAACAGCTTGGAAACTTCTGCATGAAAATGTACCAAAGACTGCACTAACATAGGAGAGTAATACACCAGCAGAGGGGCTTTTCTTATAAGTTCATAACAAGACTCATGTCATCTCTAGGATCAGAGCCTTGAATAACAGTGTTATTTCACAAACTGTGAAAGATGAATTAAAAAAGAGAAATTGTTCCAGTACTTTTTGAAGGAGTACTATTACTTAATATTTTATTTTTTCTTTTAGGATGTACCGAAGAACTTCTAGCATGGTTGGTTTGGCTTACCCAGCAGAAGTGATAGTAACATTTAAGGTAACGTAAGTTTAATCATTGTGGAATTTGGATGTATTTGTACTTACATTTAGTGAAATTTAGGGTGAAAAGAATATAGTTTTCTACTGGACATACCCTAGCCATATTTAGTACTACAGAAATGAGCACAAAGAACAGAGAAGTTAATAGGTAAAAATTCACAAATAGAATATTATTATGTTTATTGTTTCACTGATCAGTTGTGATTCATTTGGATGCTATTAGGGCAATAGGATGAAATTTGTATAGAAATGTGAGACATGGTTTCATCAGCTCCCAGTGGTGTGCTAATCAGTGTCTCAGCAGGATTTGTTTCCTTTTTAGGAAAGGAAAAGGAGAAGAGATATTGGGATAGAACTAACAAAAGAAACAGCAGCTTATGGAACAAGTACAGTATTTGCAGTGAATTTAAAGGCATTACTGTAGTTCACCTGAAAGACTGTCTTTTATAGTAGAAAAGTCCCTATGGCTGTGTATGCAATTAAAAAATGGTATTTCTTGAGAATGTAGTGCCTCATCTTTCCTCCTGAAAGTCAAACACTGATATTATTCTCAAATTGCTATATGACTATAGCGTTAATGACATTTCATAATAGCCTATTTAAAGGATGGATATTTGCATTAGCTCCATGAGGTTGTGTAGACAATTTGTATGCAGAAAGTTAAATTTGAAAGATTAAGGCCTTTGATTACAAAGTTGCATAGGTCATGTTACTAGTATTTTATTCTTAACTGGCACAACTATTTTCATCATTAACATTGAAAAAGACATTAATGTGTTATCTACAGTAGGAGTGTGAAAGAGCTGGACAATAAAAAAAACCCCAAACTCTCCTCCTTCCCCCCAAAAAAACCCCAAAATACATTTTTCAGTGATTAACTGGGAACCTACTTGAACAGATGGAAACTTTTATCTTCTTTTTCTTTTCCTCTCATCTACAGGATGTTGATAAATGGTCTTTTGATGTATTTGCCCTGAATGAAGCAAGTGGAGAGCACAGTCTGAAATTTATGATGTATGAACTGTTTACCCGATATGACCTTTTGAGCCGTTTCAAGGTCAGAAACTAGCCACAAATAAAAATATGTATGCAAAAATATGTATGTAAAATTTAAAATACAAGAAATCCAAGATATGTTTGAAATTGTATTTTATTGTACAATGCAGGGCAGAATTTCAAATATTGCAAATCAAACATTGTAATATGCCAATAATTCTACTAAATGGAACTTCACCCACAGCATGCAAATTTTGCTACAACTGAAAAAAAACAAAAAGCTGTGGAGACCCATTTCAAGTCAGTTTGGGATGGGATGTTGCTAGTGAGCAGCTAGATGCTCTAAGCATTAAACAGATTATGTATACAGCCTGCTTACTCTGTAGTACTGAATTATTGTCCCACTTTCTTAGAACAATGATTCCTAGTAAGGCAGAAAACTGTAGTTAGTTCTAAGTACTTTTTTCATGGTCTAGATCATACTATGCTGCCCACCATTGTGTAGGGGTTTTGACTGAACCTTCCTCTCCTAACCAACTAAAAAGAAAAGGCTGCTTTTCCGTGGTGTTTGGCAGGGTGTTGCAGTACAATATGGAGTATTTATAACCGACTTTGAAAGGCTGAAATAAAAAAATGGATCAAAGAGCCAATTTATAATTATAATAGAATCATAGAATCATAGAATGGTTAGGGTTGGAAGGGACCTTAAAGATCATCTAGTTCCAACCCCCCTGCCATCAGCAGGGACATCCCCACTAGATCAGGTTGCTCAAAATTTTAACAGGTAACTCAGACTCTGGGTGCTTGAAGTCAGGACCACACCAGGGCTATCATTAGCAACACAGTAAGAAAGTACACAATGTTACTGGTTCAGTGGGCTTAAGCCCATTCTCAGTCCCACTATTTACCTTGAAGGGCATTTAAAAAAAGAAAATATCTTAAGGAAAATATAATTTCATTATATGGGAGAAAGATGGGACTAGATAGTACCTGTACTTCATACATTGCCTGGAAGAAGAGAAGGAAGGGAAGGCAGACTATCAGATTAAAGGAAACTTTGTCTCAGGCAAGGTAAAACTGTTGAAGAAAAATAAAAAAGCCTATTGTTCGACTCATATCTGTCATGTCTTTATTATATGAGCAAACTATGCATTCCTGGTACAAACAGACGTCTTGAAAACTATTTGGTTGATAGTTCTGCAGTCTCTTGTACACTAACCATATACTGCACATGGTGTATGTAGAGGGTTAGAACATCTACAAGAATTGGGTGAAGACTCCCTGATGCATGTAAGATATTAGATCTTTACATTCTAAATATTACTTTGTTGTTTAATTGTTTAATTAAATTCTATAGTATATTTATTTGTGGTTGATTTATTGATTTATTGCATGATTAACTTTGCAGCTGTTGCAGGAAAAAAAACCCATTTATTTTAATTTTTGCTTCCTCCTAGATCCCTGTTCCCAATCTTATTTCATTTGCTGAAGCTCTTGAAGTTGGTTACAGCAAATACAAAAATCCATATCACAATTTGATCCATGCAGCTGATGTTACTCAAACTGTGCATTACATAATGATTCACACTGGTATCATGGTAAGAAATACTGCAAAGTTCAATTCACTACTTTTCTCAGCCTATGCTGTTTTGGATACATGTGTATGTTTGTCTTTTCTTAAGGAAAAAGCTCCCTTCAAAATGATGCAGAGATAGATAGATTCAAAACTACCATTCACGCTGTGAATTTTATGTCATTTTAACAGTTCTTCCAGGCTGGAACTCTCCTGATGCGGAGGAAAAAAGAAAAAAAAAATCCTCCTTAAATTCTTTTTGCTTTTCATTGCCTGGGCTTGGGCATTATATATCATACTAAAAGAGGTACATTTGCAGGAGTGGGCAGGTGAGAATTTTTTGCTTCCACATCAGAGCCTGGGAGGTGTGATCAGGCAAGGAAGCTTTAGTGACTGCTGAGGTACTGGCCATTGAAAAATATACTGAATCAGTGTGGACTTACTCAAATACTCTGCAGCTGCTTTTTGTTTTAGTTTATAACCTTATTTAGGTCTGCTCTTGCATACTCTGTGTGCCTATAGCAGGCAGGAGATTGCATTTGCCTTGTACTATTGAGATATCCCAATGCTTTTTAGTATTTACTTTGGGAACTGAAGTGAGTCTGTGCAAGCATTTGTACTCTGAACACTTACCTTTGATTTGATACCAGCAGTGGGAGTCTCCTCAATATCAGCTTGCTAGACAAAAGTAAATACTGACTGAAAGAAAAAGGACATTTCTGTCAACGGCCTCTTCATGATTCGTCTTCACTATGAATGCACTTGTTTCAAAAACAAAAAACAAAAACCAAAACCAAACCAAAAAGGTGGGAAGTGATAATGTCTGATTTCTGGCTTTAGGGCTGACTCTAAATGTTTGTGCTCCAATATGTACATAATATATGAAAGTTGTTGACTTATGTTAAGCTTTTTCTCACTGTAAGCTTTGCCTTTGGCTTCAGTGGAAGGAAAATCAAGACCCTGTGCATTGCAGGTTTTAAAGCTACTGTTTGGAGGAAGTGTTTTTCTTCTGAACATCAAGTTTTTAAAACTATGTTTTAACACAAGTACTACTTGCAGAGTCAAGCCTGGAGTCTTCAGCAGCCAAGATTCCTTTTCTCATTGAAATGTTTTCTTGAGAAAGGACTTCCATAGCAAACTGAAGAACAGGCTAGACAGCTCTTGCCAAGTTCACTCTAAACCAAAGTTGTTCTGTAAGAAGTTCACCTATCAAAATAGTATTTTAATAAAAGAAAAAGCTTGAAGAGATTAGATCATGTTTCCTATCCTACCCTTGTCTTCTACTATAACATCAATGGTAAGCATTGAGACATATCTTTGTTGCAGGTATATATCTGGATCAGCAACTCAACAGGGAGGAAAATCCCTCTATTGTATTATACATTATAAACATCCCTTTGCCCTGTTGTAATTGTGACCCCTTGCCTTTCAAAAAAACCCAGTAGCATCTATATTTTCTTTGTGATGCCACGGCAAGGTTCCAACTTCCACAGCTAACCCAGTCAATTTGGTATGCTTAGCCATTGATTAAACAACTTTGCAATGCACTTCGGGTATCTCTGAACACAGAATGAAGGAACCTGTTTCATATTTGAATATCTTCTATTCCACAGGGTGCACACAAGAATGAGAAAGGCCTCTCCAACTCAAATTTTACAATATTAGCATTTTAACCTTGGAACTGCACTTTGATGTGATGCACTTTGGACAACTATTTTTAGAAAAGCTTAGACTTTATTACTGATACTTTGCTGTGAAATGTCATTAATGTTGCAATTCTGATACAAAATATTCCTGTAAAATTGGGACAGCTTTTATATATTCACATTTGAATTGCTGAATTATGATATTGGGAAGTTCTTGGAAAGATGTCTAACTAGGACAACACTTAGTCAAGAGTGCCTTGAAACAGACATAGCTTGCCAGGCAGAAGGAACATTTATAGAAACTAGTGTTTGAAAGAAGGCCTAGTGATTCTGCAGCTTGCAAAATATTTCTGTCTAAAATGTCATTTTCAGTTTGAGAACGCATCAGTACCATACAAATGTTCTATTTAACTTGTTAGGTTTTTTTCCTGTTGCCTGGTTAACCCTACAGAACCCTACTCTATAACAATTTGAAGTTTGCTTCTCAAGCTAATAGTTTTCAGAGTATGTCCATTGTGATGCCTCTTTTAACTCTGCTGTGTCTTGTAACAAATACTTGGATTGGAGTCAATTTGATGCAATTCTATATCCAATTCCTGTGTGTTTTTTTGGAGATTGGCATGTAATTTGAAGTTCTTGTGCTTTCATTGTGTCTTATGAAACTGACTCCCAAATGTTGCCAAGAATTGCTGTCTTCCTTGTTCACCCCTGAAAGACAAACTGAAGCAAATGCTTTGGAAAGCTAGGGTTTAGAAAATTCTTTTCACAATTCCTGTTGTGGAGGTCATACATTTTGTATCTTTTATATGCATCTGGAAAACAGCCATATTTCAGGATTTGCCACAAAGTTTGGCTGCTCGGAGTTTATGTTTCTCCACAAGCCTTTAGAGAGGTTCCAGTGAGGAATAACACATATTCAGAATCACACTTAAAGAAATAAAATGGTCATTGTATTTTCCAACAGTTATTGTCTATCTTAAGAAACAAGATCCAGCCACCTCAGATCAATGCATTAGAAAGTAAAATATCACAGATGGCACACAATCTATTAACCTTCCCAAGAGATTAAATCCCAGATGATATGACTGAAATATATAACTCAAGCTTGCATTTATGAAGTCTTCATCTTTATAAAGATTTAAGAATCCAAGTCCCAGGGCATACATCTTGTAAAGAACTTTTGAGTCATCCATCATCTTCCCACCATCCCTTTTCTCCTCCCACGTACCTGTATTGCTCAAACTAAAGGAAAAAATGTCTTTACTGTCAATAAGTGCATTGTGAGACTCCCTTTCTTACTCATTTTTAATACACTGTTGTTTAAAAAAATAGTTAGAACCAGAGCTCATGAAACATTGAAATGTATCTATTTAGTTATAAGCAATTTATAATACTGGAAAATGTCTCTCAGTAGAAGAGATCTTTTCCAATAGGTGTTACACCTGCATAGCATAGTATCTCCCAAGAGGGAATCAGGTTCCAGCTCTTTGCAGTCTTGCAGACCTATAGTTACCTGATTTTCCCTCTCTCTTTGAGAAAAACCCTTGTTGACTCTGTAAGAGCTTTCTCTTGCTTCCTCAGAAATCCTTTAGCTAAAGTAGTTCTCTGATTCTCTGATTTGAATACTGATCTGAATTTTGACTGTACAGCTAGAGTCTATAGAATACTTGCTCTTACACAGTACTGTATGAAGTTTCTGTGTAGCCCAAAGATAGTGTTTGTAAAGGAATGCTCTTCTACTTATAAATGCATTGTCTAGCAACTTATTTGTTTTCTAAAAAGATTTTATTTGAACAAGCATCTTAAAGAAAAAGTTTATGCTTAGTTTTAGTTACTAATAATTTCTGGGTTTCTATTCTGTTTGGTATGTTAAAACATTGTGAAAGCCAGGACCAGTCATGGCCTGGTTTCTTGTGACACACAATACGATGAAGGTCATAATTTCCATTTTTAGAACTGCTTACAGTACATTCTCATTCCTCTGTTGTGACCTTTTTAAATCTATACTGCTTCACCAACAGACAGTACTTGTTGTTCCTCAGCAGTCTTATTTTGTCACTGAATGACCTATTTCATTATTTTCACATTACGTAGCAATCTTGACTGTTTCCTTTCTTCTTCTTTGAAAGAAGTACTATTATTGGCAGATATACTACTTCTGGTAGCTAACACATCTTACATGCATTCATGCACATGTTTGTGAATATAAAGGTGTGTAAGGATGAGAACATTCTTTGATCCTTTAGTACAGAAGCTTACTTCTACACTAAAAAACCCCTGAAATATGTGTGGAAATGCTTGACTGATGTTTGACTTAATCAGTCCTATGACTGCGGGGGTTAATTATCATATGATTTTTCTGCCACCATTTTTAAATGGAGTAAATTTTCTCCAAGATGATTTATCATTCAAGAAATAGAACTTGAAAGATAAAATAACAGAGGTGGTTTTACAAATGGAGCGATATAGAGCAGCCTCATTTAGGAAGAGTATAAAAGCGCACAAAACTCTAGGGTCTGAATTATTTTGTATACATGAACAGTACTACCCTTTGTTCTGTGTAACTGTACACTAACTTTATGCACACTTTTTTTACATTTGGACAAAGTATGATAAAATTTAGAATAGAAAAATCACCCATGAGTATAATTTTAATGCTATGTACTCTGGTAAAATGCTGATGTTGTACCTAGAAATTATTGTGAACTCTATGTATTGTTCACTAAAAGACAAATTATAACCTTATTTTTATATCAAGTTTTTAGGTGAATATACCATAATTTGGAAAGTGCCATGTATGGGCTAGCAGATTAGATACTTCCTACTCAAAACAGCTACATAGTATGCTGTATAATCTTAATAACTTCTTATATTTTTTGTCTGCCAATATTTACTTTGCTAGTGACCATGAGGATGTTAACTTGGTCTTAGAGAAATCATAATAGGTACAAGGAATTATTTTACTATATAATACTGAAGGGTTACGGATATATAGTTACTTGGATGAAGACAAGAATAAAGTTTACTTAAATTGAAGGTAGTGCAAAACATTTCCAGTACTGTAGTGTTTGATCTGAATAAGGCTGTTATAGAAAATATGACTAAGATTTGTTTTTCATTTACCAGCACTGGCTCACAGAACTGGAAATTTTAGCAATGATCTTTGCAGCTGCCGTCCATGATTATGAACATACTGGGACCACAAACAATTTTCATATTCAAACAAGGTAAGCGAAGTGGTCCCTAAAGTGTCATATCTGGAGTTTGCTGTTCATTGGTCTGAACTGTTTCATACCTCTTACTGATACAGCCAGGAAATAGCCAGTCATTCCTGATTTTACAAATTGCTTCCTTGACCTCTGCACAGTAAATGGAACTGCTCATGTGAACAAAGTGTGGAAAAGCAAGGAGTTAGCTCCACAGTATTTGAAATAATTATGTTTTGGAGCTGACATGTCAAGAGAGAATTCAAAAAGTTTCAGAACGTCGGACTTGAAAACCCCTCACCCACCCCTCTCTTTGCTCACTTAAATTCTGATACTTTCAACTCAGAAATTTCTTCCACAGTGTCCCCAGAAAAACCACTTCACTTTCAGCAATGTGTCTGCACTTATTTCAGGCGCTACATTTTGTTTCAAGTTGTGTATTAAACTTACAGGCTTCTCATACAGAAGGAGAAACCTTCAAGTACAGCTTTAGAAATCCTTACCAAGAGTCCTCTCCTAGCATGTTTTGACAGCATCTGTAGTAGTTACAGAAAAGAAATCTAGAAAGAAATCCAGTTTGAAAGTCAGACTAACTATTCTCTTGCAGGTGCAGTGTGTTCTTCTAGCCTCTGGTCCAGAACCAGCAGCATACACCTCTCTCCTGTGAAATATTTTTAGCTTATCAAAGGAAAACACTGACCAATCCGTTACTGGGTGATAAATGGTGCACCTGATACTTTGCCTACTAAAAAACATCTTGTTCTGTCACATCAGGCTATACTTTTTTTTAGCATCCTCAGTTGAGGAGTCTGCTTTACCTGCTCTTGAAAAAAAATGTTAGCAAAACACTGGCATATTCTAACAAACCAGCTTGGGGCTAGAAATACTGCTACTTTGAAGTGAAGCACCCTCACACTCACCTATACAGATAGTGTCCAATGGTTACATTTAAATTAAATCTGTAGCATACTTGTGCTCTGAAATGTTTCCTTTGATAATGAACAAAATCTAGATTTGCAGCTGAAATAAAAACATCTTTTCTCCCTCAGCATAATCTGGCTAAAAATAAGCTTCAGTTTGTTGTTCCAAGTTTATAGTACTTTTCTATTTTTGTCCTCAATATTTTGCTCTGAAGTATTGCAGAAGTGGAAAATGAATTAAGCTGTTAGCCTTAGAATTTCACTTGGGCAGACTTGCAAACAGGTATTTGTTCTGTGATGGCGCTCATTCTTCTCTCCTAGTGGTACCTGGCCCTGATTTGGCATTGTGGGGCCATGATTCCACATTTCTTTCACCTGAGAAAAGCTGAGGATATGGCTGTCATAGTCATAGCAAATATTAGCACTGTTTAAAACTAGCCATAAGCAGCTATGTGGGTCAAAGTGGGCTTCATACACATGTGATTGGCAAATCACAGATTTTCCCATTATTTTAGTAGAATTATGGATTTAAACATATTCATTATTCAGGTAGGTCATGGTTTGTTCCCTCTAAATATTGTTTCCAATAATATTTTAATTTTTTAGATTCCTTGGTATCATTCCATACACATTGGTGGTTACACTGAATATATACCATTGCTCAACAGAACAAGAGGTTGAATTTACCTTATTAATATCATAGTAAGTTGTGCTGCTAAATCATCACACCTTTCTTCTAGTAGAGACTTTTTCAGTTGACCAAACTGAAATAATTTGGAATAGTTTTATCAGAACAGAAGTGTAGCAGAGAAGATTGCTTAGGAAGTCAGATCAGATCTTGGGGAAACAAATTCCCCAAGATTTAATGAAATTTGAAGCTAAGTAGGACAAATCTGTCAATCTATATGGAACTTTGGTATTTTAGGTTATTATTTAATTAAGAAGGAAAAATACTGTTGAGAGTGCTATGTTATGGTAGGGGTCTGGCTTTAGGAAGCACTTGAATGCAATCTAATTTCAGCTTGTCATTCCTTCCATTCCTTTTCTATGAGGCTTAAAATTTTTCTCTTTTCTGAAAAAAGATGGCATTCATTTAAAACATATGACATTGAAGTTTTAAAATATTTCATTATCTACAGCTCCTGGTTATGAGTAACATGGGCCAAAGCACATCTCCCTCTGAACAGGGATAGTAACTTCTTAATACCCATGCTTAATACCCACCCAGGTGGAGCCCCCTCTGTTGGTGAATGCGTTACATTTTAAATGGTTGTATCACCAAAGAATACTCTTGTGCAGCCTAATTAGACCATTTCTGTCGCTTTATGGTCTCATCATCAGTCAAGAAGCTCAAAGATCTCCTCACAGATTTTTGTCACATTTATATAAATAAAACATTACACATTTTAAAATATGACTTTCCCACAAACAGTATATACAGTGATATAATGATTTTTTTTTTATACATTTAGGTTGGGAACTTTATCAATATTTAATAATAGGAACAAGTAAACATAATTTGATATGTATAGTCAATAGTTCTCATAGCGAATACACAGTTCTGCCTTCCCCAGTGATGTCATTGGAATGCTATTCCAAATTCTGCCTTTTTTTTTTTTTTTTTAACTCTAGGTCAGATGTTGCAATATTGTACAATGATCGTTCTGTTCTTGAAAATCACCATGTGAGTGCTGCTTATAGACTCATGCAAGAAGAAGAGATGAACATCCTGGCAAATTTAACCAAAGATGACTGGAGGTAAGACCTACTGTGACATTAAAACTTAATTCCAGTATTTAAAAATAAGAAAAAACACCAGACCTTCCCTGTGGAGTCTGTTTTAAGAGTTCAAATTACAGGAAGAAACTCTAGCACTGGAAGTGGCAATGGATATTAAGAGCTTAGGGAAGGCTGCTGTAGTGTAAAGTACTGTTTTCCAAGTAATTTTCCAAGTGCAGTTGTGCATTTATGAGGCACAGTGTTGGACTATGTGGACAGTGTCTCAGGTGAGATAGCTCTTCAGGAAAACCACAGTGCTGCCCTCTTGAACCAGATTACTTTTGTCTACCAGTGGGCTGAAACACTCTGCTGCCAGGTTGAGCACTACTGCCTCTGTGATTTCTGCTGTGTAACAGCACAGCATAGTCACATCTTGGTTAAGAATTAAAAAATGATGTATCTGGAGTCCAAAAATAATAAAGGCCCAGAAGCACTACAGAAATCTCTTTCTTCTTCTCCTCCTTCTCCTCCTCCTCCTCCTCCTCCTCCTCCTCCTCCTCCTTATCCTTCAGTTTTAGTGTAATTCCTGAAGAAAATTTGACCAGCTGAAAGAATCATGATCATAACTGATGTCACAAATACTAAGACCTGTAAGACCAAAATGAACAAGTGTTACCAATAAGAATTTTCCATTATTAGAAAAGACGTGTTATCTTTGTATGCCTTTGATCACTACATATAGCACTTAAAGTATGTCTCCTATGTGTTTCCGTAAACATAGCTTTTATTCAGAGATCCTAAAATTAACTTTTAAATAGGTGGACTGTGAAGTCAGAGAGGTGTTCTGCTTCCAGGAAAGTCTCCCACTGTAAATGATGCCACCATGAATAACAAAGCTATACTCTGCTTTATTTATATTTTTATAAAATTATACATTTATAAAGGAGTATGTGAATGTAAGATCAAATTTTGGTGTGGTGTACATTTACAGATGAAGGACTATTTTACATGGTAGATTTACATTATTTTACTCATCTACATGATCAGAACACCCTTAAATAAAACATTTACTGAGTGTAAGTCTGCAGACCCTTTTGGCTTTCAATTCATTATTTTTCGGTAGCTACTCCAAAGCACTTAAAGTATTTTTAATTTTTCATTTAATACAAAGTGAGAGAGGAAGCATACACTTTCTTATTCTCATAAAAATTTCTACTCAGAGGATACTTATTTGGATTTAGTTATAAAGTTTGTGTTGTAAATTTAGTTCTGGAGAAACATATCTGGGAGTAAATTGTAAACTTCACCGATAATTGTCATATACACCTGGTTTTTCATTGCCAACATGAGTCAGCCTTGCTCTGCTTGGAACTATTTTGAACCTGATAGTTTTGGGGCTGATAGGTCTCTCTGACCCTATTTTTGCTTGTCCTAGTTACTGAGTATGGAGAAAGTGATTGTGCCAGTAGACAGCCATCAGAGACTGGTATTCTGTCTTTTAAAACCATCATTGTAGAGGGGTAATGATTTTCAAATCTTCAGACTTGTTTTCTTGAGTATTTTTTGAAGTATTGTTGTTCATATTGTGTCCTACCAGAGAATGCTTCCAGGTAGAAAGGGGCAGATCTTTTTCAGTTGAGTTTCAGTTAAGGACTGTATCAAGGATGGCTTGAAGACACTTATGTGCTTCCCCAGTCCTGGCTCCTTCATCATGATGGGAGATCACCATAAATGAGCAGAGTTTCGGAATCCTTGTAGCAACATGCAGAAATTTGGCCGCCAGCTAATACAGTACATCCTAGTTGTTCCCTTTTATTATGTCACTGGGGAAAAGAGTGATAGGATGGAAACTCCTGTGAAAGAAAATATTTCCCGATGTACAGAGGAGCCCATGGTTTCCAGGTGTATGTTATTTATACATATTGCTCTGGTGGACTGCAACAGAATAAAGGGAGGAATGTGATATATCGTCTTCACATTTCTGAAGCACAGTCTTCTCTGCCTAGATTGCTCAGTCTGGTCTTCCCACAATTCTTTTTCTTTATGTAATGAACCTTTTGCTCTAACATCTGTTGTATTTCATTTCTCCATGGATTTTGAACCTGTGATAAACTACCATGTTCCTTCAGAAGCTGCCCAGTCACCGACTAGGTGTGTTTGTGCTTGCTTTTCAATCTCCTCTCACTGTAACCCAGTTTGGATTTCCTGGAGGATTTTATTTTAGTTTTGCAAATTTTGTTTGTATACAGTGGCCACACAGTTTGAAGTTGGTGGGATTTGGCAACCAGAAAAAGTAGAATTTATGGTCTCTTGTTGGGGCTATTCAGTACAACTTAGAAGATCTGTATGAACTGACTAATAAGCTCAAGTAAATAAACGAGGACATTCAGTTCCATGTTTTGTCACTTAACTAGGCAATTGCAGTCTGTACTTTCAAACAAACCGATAACTTCTGAAGTGCAAGTCTGTGAACATGCACAACCTGTTGAAGTCTGATATTTAATTTAGAGGGTCAGTCATGGAAATGATGGTTTCCTCATATTAATTTCTAATATCCAAATGTACTTGTTACTATGTCACCAGATACAGTTGTTTGTTGGTGCAATGATAGTTCTGTTAGCCACTTAAAAGAGGCTCTTCAATTTTCTAATTATTACTAGAGTGAACCTCTTGGATCTACACTGAAATTCATGCTGTTAGACTAACAGTTTTGAAGTTTGCCCTGAATCAAATTGGCAGTAAATTGAAATGATAATTTGTTCAACTTTTGATGTACTTCTTGGCACTGATGAATTTCTTGACTACTGTCAGATCTGTTTTCTTGAGCTGCAGCGATTTCATTTTTTTAAAGTTTAATACCCCTGCCTATTTAAACTGTAGTTCTGCTAATTATTTCAGCAAGATGAAGCAAAATGACTGAGAATGAGTTTATAGTATTACATTTTATTTTCTACATGTTAACATTAGGAAGATAAATGCACTAATAAACTGTCAGCTTCAATTAAGTTTAAAACATAGGGTTTGGGGCTGAGCAGGGAAACACTGCCAGCATTCTGATGAGGATGTCCTTTGTGGATAAAACATGTGACATTCATAGTCATTTCTCACTCTTTTCACAACTCTGAAAATACATTCGAGTCTTCCATATTGTCTTGTTTCTCTCACTTAGTGCTGCTAAATATCTAAAGACGGATCACTTTTTGTCCCCCTTTCTCCTGGCTTCTGGTGTTCCAGCACCCGCTGGGTTACATCAACAGTCATAGGTGGTCAAGGGGTATTAATGTCTCAAACCATTCCAGTCATACGGCATACGATGATGTATCGCCTGATTATATAAAAAAGAACTACCACAACAATATGTTTTATTGTGGTTGTTTTAACTTGGCTGGCAGCCAAACACCACACAGCTGCTTGCTCACTCTCCCCTGCCCAGGAAATGAGGGAGAGAATCAGAAGGGTAAAAGTGAGAAAACTTTATATGAGTTGAGATAAAAAACAATTTAATAATTGAAATAAAGTAATAATGACAATAATGGAATATACAAATGAGTGATGCACAGTGCAATTGCTCACCAGCCACCAACTGATGCCCAGCCTGTTCCCCAGCTAGCGATCCCGGAGCAGAGACAATCCTGAAACCAATACCACAGTCCCGGAAGAGAGAGACACAGCTTTACAGCCAGCCCTCATTTATATACTGAACTCGATGTTATATGATATGGAATATCCCATTGACCTATCCATATACCAGTTTGGGTATGCTAATCTTATTACGCTCCCCCACAGCTTCTTCTGCACCTGTAGACTAGCAAAACATGGTAAGTTGGAAAGTCCTTGATTTCTTATCAACAACTAAAAGCATCAGTATATTACCAGCATTCTTCTCATACCAAATCCCATACTGAAACCTAAACACAGCACTATTCTAACTACTAAGAAGAAATTTAGCTCTATCTCAGCTGAAACCAGGAAAATTTTATACAATGCATATTGAACAGCTTTTCTTTCGTAAATTCCCTTGAAAGTTTTCTGTCTGAGGAAAGCAGGATTCCTATAACTTGCAAGATGAACCTTATGTCTTCAGTTACCAACTTGCTTTTGCTCATCTTAGACTGTTCCTGCATTTTTCCATTAGTTCTCCAGCTGACTAAATGTCTTTGTCATGGATGTATCCAGGTAAAGCTGGTTTCTGTTTATTGGTTAACTACTTTTCAAAAAAATTTATGTTCCACTCCTTGTCTCATGTTTATTACAGGAATATACATGTAATTTTTTCACATCATCTTTCATCTATTTTTTTACAGTATCCTGTCCATAGGACGTATGGATATAGGAGGGTTGAGAAAGGATGACAGCACAGGACATGACAGTTTACTTAGAGCTTTAGTTAATGTTTCCATGTCAGTTCTCAATTTTCCATCGCTCTGTTGATGGTGGATGGGGCTCAGGCAGGAAATAACTGAAGGCTGTAGGTAGAGAGCCTCTCCTTTGCTCTTCAGCAGCTTTTTAGTGGCCTGAAATCTTCAGAAGTGTGTGAGGTGGTCCGTGCTACATTGCTTCATCCTTATTCAGGTGATGGAGGTAAGAATTAGGGTTTGTCTGCTGCCATGACAGTGTGAGTAAACTGGAAGCAGCGTTTTGCTTCCCTGTTCATCTTGTGTAGTAGGGGTGGGCTTATTTCTGATTGCTCTTAAAAGTTTGGATATGGAAAGTTCCTAGGAAAATCTCCCATAAAAAGAGGAAGTGATAATTATTTCAGTCTTAACAAGCAACAGGGTTTAACAATGCAGAGCCCTCAGTTTTCATGCAGAGTTTGCTGGGTTTTTTTTGTTTGTTTGTTTTTTTTCCAATGGGTTTAGCAGTGTTTGAAGGGTACAGTTTCAAAGCAATGTCGAGTAGAACAGTTGGGATGCAAATTAATTAGTATCTTATTATGAGGTCAGATAAGGTAAGGCATTTTCTAAACACAAGTTGCTATGGCTGCATATTATTGAATAGAAATGAGAGGACTGAGTCTTTATCCAGTTAGATCAAAGCAAATTGGGAATAAATATACAAAAATCAATGAGGAGTGTCAGCTTTAATATGCAATTAATTTGACTCAAAAGCAGTCTTGATAATTTTTTAACAAACTATTGTAACAGCCCTAAAGCAAACTGCAATTTACCTCTTTAAAACATAGTCCTTTGAAAAAACTGCAGGTAAGTAAATCAAAGATATGAATACAATATGAAAGATCAGTGAGAATGACTGAAGTAGGATTCTACTGTTGTAATTGATACTTGGACATTCTTAAGATTGGGGATGTGCTCATGAATATATGCTACATAATCAAAGATTTAATGTGGTGAATTGTCCCAAAGGTACATATAAGCAACACTTGCACATAAATCCTCATATGCCATTTAAAAAAGCATGTAAATAAAGACCCAGTAGACTCCTACATGGTCTATATACAATCCATCTACATCAAGAAACAGAATTATTGTTGACAAAATTAATGTACTTTCATATACAATGAGAATGAATACACTTTCTTACATGATTCATGTTTTACTATTTTCGTATTCATTTAATAGAAGGCTGATAGACAAGCCAACATCTCTGACTGTAATACCAAGATATAGATAAATTATAAAGCCCAAGCTTGTTCTGATTCATGAAATAGGCATTAAGGTATTTTTGAGAGGAAGGGTAGTTTGTCATAATGTTCATATGTTGGTATAATGTTGATAGTGTTTCAGATGTAATATCTCTTGCTCTTTTGAGTGTTTCCACAGCCTTCTTCCTAGATTTAGTGTTAATGCCTACTCTGCACTAATATGAGGGAGGTAATAAAAGACATAAATATATCTTCTTGTGTGGTGGTAAGCCCAAAGACCAACTGGTTTTTTGAATACTCTACTGCTAGAAAAATAAGGAAAGTCTTTTGGGTGACGGAACTGCATGTAATTTTAGTTCATACAGAAAAAAGGAATTAAAAAACAGTGTGACTCTGAAATAATGATTACAGAGTGTATTTTCTGAAGTACATTGCTTTCGCAGAATCCCTTTAGGATACAGCATTCAAGTTGTTAATAATTTATTTAAATGCTTTTTAAAACGTAATAAAACCTGAGATGTTGTTTAGAAGGTTATAAATTAACAACTACTGCTTAAACAGATGTACCATACATAGAATAAATGAATTGTAATCAGTCATTTTGCTTTTAACTATTCTTAGGGAGTTGCGTAGCTTGGTCATTGAGATGGTCTTGTCTACAGATATGTCGGGTCATTTTCAACAAATTAAAACAATGCGACATACTCTACAGCAGACAGAGGGGTAGGTTATTTTCCATTCTATTTATTATCTATAGTATTTCAAAGAGCTCGTGTACAAGAAAAGAATTTAAATATTTGCTTTTGTTTTGAGATAATTGCAGCATGTCCTTGAATTGACAGGGTAGACAAAGCCAAAGCCATGTCTTTGATTCTACATGCAGCAGACATAAGCCATCCAGCAAAATCCTGGGAACTGCACTACCGGTGGACCATGGCCCTGATGGAAGAATTTTTTCGACAGGTGCCATTTTTAAAATCTTTTAATAAGTCTAGTTCGAGAAGCAGTGATTACACAACTAAATAATTTCACAAGTATATCAGCAAGGATGCTATTGGTTCTGACTGACAAGTGTAGTCAGTAGTATATATTCCTTACTCTTCATATACATACCACTGACATTAATTCAACTTTTATGTGCATGAATAAGATGTAATTGTTATAACTCTATATCTATTTCAGCTGATACCAGGATTCTGAGTGTTGTAGTGGGTTTTTTTTCTTTCAATAATAATATAACTTGTCAAGCTGTTTTCATTCTGTAGGCAGAGATTTATATACACTTTGAGTTAAAAAGAAGTACCAGCAGGATAGGATGAGGGACTTGAAAATAGGAAATCTCATGTTCAGAATGTTGTCTCTATTTCACATTTCAGAAAGCCTTCTTATTTCTTTTCCTTGCCAGTGATTGCCATATGTATGCTGCATAGATCTGAAGATTTTTCTTTCATAATAGCCTGATCCAAAGCCAGAGATGAGATGGTATCTTCCTGCTAACACTGTTGCTATATATCCTAAAAAAACGCAAGATGACACACCTTTGTGAAAGTCTTTTAATTTCTGAGAGATACTGAATTCAAAGAGAAAGCCCAGTGGGTGTTGGTGTCACTGCTGCCATTTTTTCACTCACCTCAGCAGGTGAAAAAGACATTTCTCCAATGGGGGAATACTCTCCCTGTAATGAATATTTGTGACCACATGCATTTTTAACATAACAGTTACTGAAGTACAATTGATAACAAAAATCCCATTTAGATATTACACAGTTTCTACAATTATACATAGGTTTTAAAAATGGTTAATACAGCTAAAGGAACAGTGTATGTCTTGCTCATTTTGTTTGCAGTTATTTTGCTGTGTACTGACATTTTCAAATCATTTGGGTCACAGTGGAAAAAGAGGTTAGAGAATAAAAAAGTCACCGTGTTAAACATGAGGTTGTTAGGTCCATCTGCCCTAAAAAGTTCTTGCCTGGTTCCTAGTTTCTTTATATGAAGTCACAGTAGGGAGCATCAGGACATCCTTGACTCTGAGTTTTGCACTGGGGAGACAGATTGGAGAGCTGGTGTCTTAATCTAAATAATGAATGGACTAAGTTTTGTGGAAATACTGAGTAGAGTCATGAGTTTGTGTCTGCTTCTGTAAATGGAAATGATGAGGATTTTGAACTTGAGCAGAAAAAGGGGGAGCACATTACCCCAGATATATATTACTTGAAAAGGTCAGAAATGACCAACTGCAAAAACATTTTAGACACAGAGAGACAGACAAGGCAGAGCCCATGGGACAGTGAGGCAATGTGTCCAGTCAAGTGGATGTAACATTAGCAATAAACAGTATCACACTGGTCATTGAGTGCATAGGATCAGCTAATGTTTTAGTTATTCCTTTATCCTTTCGTTAGAAGAAGTAGCTGGATCCCAAATAAGCTGCTCAAATACTTGAGAAGGCAGTTAGCAATAGAATCAGATCACCATGTATGTATTTCTCCAACTCAGCAGTATAAAATGTGAAAGTCTCACAGGCTGTAGAGGAGTGTGCAAGGAACTGAATTCCTCTTCATATGTACTACCAAGAACAGTGTGTGTGGAGTAATTCCAGCACATTTAAAGTATGATGAAGCAACTGTACATATATAAATGCACTGACCAGGTCAGACACAGTAGGTCTCCTTCCTGCTTCCTAGATGTGCTGGATTTGTTGTGCCTCCTCTGGTCTGTTGATATAAGCATGTGTGGTGGAAATCTCTGGAATTTCCAAATCTGTGTCAGCCAAGATGAAGTAGTCCAAATGTATACAAAACTCACTAATTTTTCCTCCTCTTTTCTTTAAAAATATTAATTCAACCCTTTCTACTACTATACAGGAAAAAGCAGCAGAACCTGAAACTGCCTATGCAAAAACAATGCTTTAACAGGCAGCTTTCAAAGTAGTGAGGACCAGCAAAAAATGAACATTCACCTAGACTAAAACTTTGTTAACTACAGCTAACAGTTAAAATATATGCCAGTGTTAACTTCAGGGAAAAAGCCAAACAATGTTTTAAGTTTAAAAGTAACAGCTACAGAAAGTGTGTTATAATGCCAAGGAAAATCTGAACTCCTTGTTTAAAACAGAAATACACCCATCCATCTCAAAACCTTAAAAATAAATACGTAGTTCAAGTCACTCAAAGTATCACAGCGCCTATAGCATTCTTCTCTCAGTCTGAACAGATGCACAAAAAGAGAATTTGTCCAGTGAGTTCAGCACCCGGCCAAAGAATTTCTTTTACTGTTTTAATCTTTGTCTTGATTTTAAATCTCCTGAAATTCTAATGATCAATTTAAATACTAGTGCTGTGTCCATTATTACAATTTTCAGTAGACTTAGACTTATATGACATTTAAGTATTAATTATGTACTATATTAATTGCAAACTAATTCATAATTGGGGCTTCAAGATTTACTTGAAAACATTGAAAAATTCAAACTGATTCTTTACTAGCGTGCAATTTTCTCTCTTTCAATACATAGTTAAGGGATGATTACAAAATTAATATTGCTTTAGAAACCCTGTATTCAGCAATGTCTGAAATTGTTAGAACTGCCCCAGTTTATATTATATCACAATCTGGCTCCTGCATTTACATGGAGATACCACTAGCAGTGCTCCTAGTAGTAAGTGTCAATGTGTTCTACACTCTGAAATCAAATTATGAACACTTGGGCATAGAATTTAGAGGGCATAGAGATAAAACTCTTCACTTGCACATGAAACACAATCTGCGAGCTAAATCTGTTCCTGTGGCTGAAGTGGTTTTATTGGTACTATAGTTCTAAACTTTTCCAAAATCTAGTTCAGTGATATATGATAAAAAGACTAAGAAAAGTTGATACTGCCCCCTTCATCTATCAGCTTCTGATGAGATCTTTGGGAAAATGATATGTTCATTCAGTGCTCCCCACTGAGTGATCATGAAATGGCACTCTCCATGACTACATTTTCCTTGAAAGACTAAATTTTCCTATATCTGTAATGTCAGTTCCTCTGACATTATCTGGGGTCAGATTTGTCCAGCAACACAAGTTATAGTCTGCTTTGAAAGATATATCTTCAGATGTTTTTGTGCCACTAGACTTTCTTTTTGAGCTTTTGCAAGTCATTTGGTCTACCATGCTGAAAATGGAGGTAAGACCTCCCAGTCTGTTAAGACTGTTATGACATAAAACCTCTTTTAATGTGTTAGGTGTTGGAATATTTTCAGAACTAGGTTGTACAAATAATCTTTGTAATGAAATTGAGCTTGTGTGTTTTAAGGCTTCAGCAGCAGAGACACAAGCCTGCTAGTGAGTTCAAGTCAGGTTGTACCCTTGACCTGTGTAAATCCATTGAAGAAATTATATGTGCTGGATAAACCAGTGTGATAGAAGGACACACTTAGCATTTGACACACTACTAAAAACATGTGTAAATATCTCCAATCCCATTACATCTGAGATCAGCAGGACTAAACTGTGAATATTGATGGACTTCATATGAGTTGAATCTCATTGGCAGGTATCTGGCTCTTGAGGAGAACTTGCTTGCATTAAGTTCCTTTATATAAAAATTATCAAAATGTAAGTTAGAATTTTGACTTTTACTTTTCCTGAAAATTGAAAGATAAGTAATGAGAGGTTTTTTGCCTGTGGCTTGTTTTTATTTAGGCATATAAGTGAACAAACTAATCTGTTGAATAAATACTGAGAATGTTCAGATTCCTTTGTCTCTCTATCCCTCTATCAAATATGTGCTTATAATATTAAATGTTGTTGTTTGCAGGGCGACAAGGAGGCTGCTTTAGGTCTTCAATTTTCCCCACTCTGTGACCGCAAGTCTACTTTGGTAGCTCAGTCCCAAATAGGTAATGACAAGTTGTGTTTTTCTTTTTCTTGCATGTGTAGGAGCTTGTAAAATCATGTGGACATTTCTTATATCTATTTTGAATTTTAAGTGTTACAAATGCCATCATATAGAGGGTATTTCTTTGCACCTATCTCTTCACCAAATTCATATGCTTTTACAACAGAAATACACTGGTCTCAAAAGAACATGAAGTAATTTCAGCATATGTGATGCCAAAGAGGGGTAGGAGAGGGATTAACCAAAGTACTGGAGATGAGCCAAATTTATACTGTACATGCTTTAGAGTTTGGTAGATTGTGTCCTCAGACAGATTGAGTCTTGCTCAAGAACTCACAGGTATGTCTTTACTTTGGTCTGAAAGCCTGGTACTGTTTTGTAGATGCATCTCGACTCAAAGCTAGATCATACATCAGATCTCTGGCCTGCAGTTAAGACTGCCAGTGTGGCAGGGTCGAAGTACACAGGGTCAAGCCTTCTTAGGTTTGCCGCTGCATTCTGTTTCCGTCAATCCTAATTGCATTTTGGTCAACAGTGGCCAAACTTCAGCTTCCCATTTTTAGAAATGTGGGTCTTGGCTCTCTCTATCCCTGTTTCCATCAGGAATAATACGGAGATAAAAACAAGTAAAGATCACTGAGGCTAGTTAAAAGGAAATATCCTAGAAGCATATGAGTAAAGCAGTATGTTCTACCAACAGCTATACCTTTTATGTGAGTGAACACAGTACTTACAGAAAGATTCTATAGGTGACAGTGTCTTATCCTTGAACTAAAGCACATTATCCTGTCTGATCTTGTCACTCAAAATATCCTTTATTCCATTTAACTGGGACTTGAAAGACAACGTGCTTGAGCATCATACCTGCTGCATGAGGGAAGCTAGATCCTAGGCTGAAGCACTGTTGCTCACCTTCGTGCTGCCATTGCATGGTTAGAGTAGGCAGACATCTGGAAATCCATTGCTAGCTCATGCTTTAGCTTCCACCCTCCCTCCCCCACTGTTAAGTGCTCAGCAGAGAATAATGCTTCATTCTCTCATGGTGTCATTCCATACCTTGATGAGCACTTTAAAATGTAAAAGACATTGTTCAGAGCTGACATCTCAGAACTGTGGGATGAATGCTGTCTCCTAAGGATATTACTTGTTCTCTTCATTGATTTGACAGAACACTCCTACACACTGTGAAATAACACTTTACCTTCACAGAATAATAAACAGCAGTTTAAAGTATTAACTCCTTGTCAAGAAGCTCCAAATAGTAAAGGAGACAGTATGACTTCTAGCCCCATGGCTCAACAGTAGCTTCCCTTCCATTCCATAATTAATATTCATTTCAAATGGTAGGTGTGTTCTGCAGTGCATAAAATTTACAAGAAAAAGGAATGAAAAGCTATAATTATTAATATCTAGTTATATCTATACAGCTTCAGGTGTTTTTAGTTTTAGGTGTGCTTTTTTTCCTGAAGATTATTCTAGTGGTATCTAGTATATTGAATCAGGACTACAGTCAGAAAATCAGCCTAATATCAAGTATTTATTTTTAGATTTGAGAGCTGTGGAAATATAAAATCTAGTTTTCTTTCTTCTTCTTTAGGTTTCATTGATTTCATAGTAGAACCAACATTTTCTCTTCTTACGGACTCAATGGAGAAAATTGTTATGCCTCTTAGAGAGGAAGCATCAAAATCTGAAAGTCCTGCATTTGGGACACCCAGGTATGAATACACTGCTTAGTTATTGAACTGACATAAACTAACATAACAATGTCATTCTCAGAATATCACAATTATTTTAACGATTGGAAAAGTAACAGAACTAGCTGTACGGTATTGCCACCATGTGGTGCTGTGTTGAATTTGCAATATGCTATTACTCCACTGTGGACAATTGTGCATATAAAAAGGCAAAGCACAATAACGAGCAGAATGCACATGTATGAAATATAAAGCTGATTTTCTACAACATATCTAATAACGATTTTTTTCCTTTTACTATAATCTTTGCCATATATTATTGAAGTTCCTAGTTCTCTTGTCTTGAGCCATTTTCAGTATAATTTTAATTAACTGTACCAAAAGTCATTCTTTCCTTTCTGAGAGGCAATTGGAAATGGAAGTGGTGAAGGTGGTTTCAGGTTTTTTCTATTTTCTATTATGTTGTTGGTCACTTTCCTTCTTAACCTTTCCATTTTAGTATTATTTGATATATACACTTGAGACAAAATTGATTCCATTTCTATTCCACTTGAGAGATCTAAATAGTGTGTAAGTGAGATTAAGGGGGGGTGTTGTCCATCAAGCTCTTGATTTTTGTATCATGATAGGAGTTGTCTATAAAATAAACTAGCTATGACAGTGTTACCTGAGTGACTCCACACTGAAAGCATTGTTCAATAATCCGATGCTGCTTCTACAACTGTTACCACATGTTTTTCATTTTAAAACTGTAATTTGAGCTTTCACTGAGGCTACTAATATGATAGCTCTGCAGGGTGATTTTTCATTTGCTGTGCATTAGTTAGATTTTAATAGCAAAATGATGAACCTAACTCTTTTCTGATCATGAGTTTACATGTATTTTGGTTACTAGAAGTAAGTAGAAGTTACTAGAAGTAGGTATTTAGGACAGTGTTCTTAGTGTTTTGTGGAACAGTGTTAAACTAAGGCATTATTGATAACAAACTTATTTACCTACTCCTTCACAAATGAGTGATTAGCAGCTGCAAATGATTAGTAGCTCCAGGTTTCATTTTCAGTTGATGTTCATGACTGGTAGATGAACAAAGGTTTGTGATACAGCAAAGCTTCCACATGTGAGGTGGAGGATAAAGGGATTTTTTTTCTTAGTATGTAATCAAGAGCTACACTTATGAAGAGAGTGGAGAGTCTATAGCATGTTACAGAAATGTCTGGGCCAGCAGGGTTGTACAAACACTACTGCCATGAGTATACAGTGTGACATTCACTGTGGTGCCTAGAAAATATTATATACCCTATTCTTTCCTTCCTATCCCTTTCAGCATCTCTGGAGCACACAGATATTACAATTAACTCTTCTTGTATAGTTCTTGCTAATATGTTCACTGCAACTATATTTTCTGATTAATGGAAATCCATTTCTATGCATATTAACATCTGTCTTCAGTACCAATGAGATAAACTATACAGCATAATTGAGTAAACAAAACCCAGTATGACATGATTAGCTGTGCAAGGCCAGAAATAGGTCTGGTTTTTTTTAATCCTAAGAAAAAAAGAGAGTTAATTCATTTTTTTCCCACCTTCACATGTATCTGCATAGTCACATAAGAATAATCAATTTGACATCTACCTTACCTTACGTGTAAGATGGCTGCACTAGCTCTAAAGTAGATTTTAAAGCCACTGTACTAAATCCTATTTTGACTACACTTGAAGACATGTACCTTGAAGAGAATTTTCAGCTGAAGCTAAACTTATGTGCCATATACTTTCATATCTTGTTTTTTTTTTAAATGGATCAACAAATAACAATCAGATGTCTTTCCTGGGAACCCCAAGGATACCATTCATTGTTCAAAAACACAGCTAAAAAGCTGCTCCAAAATGGCTACACAGACATTCTTTCAAGAAGCAACTCACAAGTGATGTATTTTCAACTGTCACTTTTTTTTCCCCCTAGAATTCCTTGGAAAATGGTCAGTATGAGTCATTCCCAGGTTACAGCTTCATGAGTTGAAGAGATGATGTATCTTAGACACTCTTTGGTGAAAACTATTATTTCGAGTTAGTGATTGCATGTAGGCCCTAAGGAATTTGATGCAAATTAACCGTGTATTATTAAAATCACTTGTCTGTTTTCATAATTTTGGGGTTTTTCACTTCTGCAGCCAAAATAGTTTGGGAACAGTAAGCAATGCTGAAGCACAAAGACGACCCACTTTTAAATGTACAACTGATGGAGGGACTCACACAGAAAATTCTCTAGCAACTGTAGACCTAACAAGCTTTAAGGACAACTTGATGAAGATCATTCAAGCAAACAAAGAAAGATGGAAAGAATTAGCAGTAGAAGGTATGATATACTAAGTTGGAATGTTTTTATAGGTTACTTCCTAAGACCTCCCCTACTTTCATTTTTTAAACTTCCTTCAACCTATAAAAATATGTAGTTGCCTTGTACTCATATATTGTATGTCCTATTGTTTGTTTAGATGGTCCTATTTTGCTCTCCCAGCATGTATAAAGAGATGTAGGTGGTCAGGGGATGAGGAAATCTTATAGCCTGTACAATAAGGCTCTGCGCTGCTCAGCTTATCTTTAGAGGTCTGGTTTAGAAAGGTCCATTTTTGCACATTTAAACTTAACTGATACTGACATCTACTTTAAATGCCAAAATCAACAATTCAAAGTAGTATGTGCTGCCACATTTCTTAAGAAACATGAAACTTGTACTTTGCTATTAGAAATGGTATTTGTTCCCCACTGTATGGAACTAAATTCAGTACTGCAGGCTTCTGAGGACTATGCTGTAGGCAATTATTTAAATGACTCAGTGGATCTAAAGATTTGGGCAATCGCAACATGTATTAGCCCCAAACAGGGCAAAAAGTGACTCTTCGTTTGCTGGTTGATACTTAACAGCAAAACCTACATCAAGCATTTTAGTTCATAAGCCAACCTGAAAATTGTCTGGAGTTACAGTTATCTGAGTGAAATGATTTCTGATAATTGTTGAACACAATTTATAACCTTATTCTAAGTTAAATTAATAGCATTTGGGAATATTTTGTCCACAGTCTGTGTTATTTCTGAGTAAGCACCTGGAATATTTCAGCATAGTGTGTCAGTGCTGGGACTGGTCTTGTTGTACATGACCTGATACTGACTGCAGGAAATGGTATCCTGGAACCCAGAGACAGCCTTGTCTTTCATCCCATCATCCAAAGCAGCTTCTTTTTTCTCAAAGAGGTGTCGGACAGGACAGAAAACACTGCTAAGCAGGGCTAAAATCTAATTTAGAGCTAAATTGCAAATGAATATTCTCATTAGGAGAATATTAATTAAGAGCAAGCTTCCATAATCTAGTGAGACAATGACTTGAGAGTTAGGTAAAAGGGGCAGCTGAGGAGGAGACTTAACTAATATTGTCTCCATAAGCAGCTTCATATGATTGATTGCCTCTTTTGGTATTGTCCAACTAATACTGACTGGTCAAAAGGACAAAGCTGCTAGTTTGCAATGATCAGTAGTAATAGGTGCCCAAGACTTAGCAGAGTGCCCAAGAGCGCTTAGCTATAGCCTACAGAAATCAAGCAGCCCTACATGCAAGGTCCTTTAATATAGAAGAATGGAGAACTTGCTCTCTCAAAGTTTGCCATTTACAGTTATATCTAACCAGTTTGATTTTGTTATACCAGCTTTTTGGTATATTGTTTTGGAGGTGTACAGTGCTATAAAAAAGATAATTTCCCCTTCATTTTCAGCGCTTTGTAGTGCTCTATAAATTACTGATAGATTTAGCCGTTTTACTGGGATATTGACAGCCGTTGAAAACACAAAGCTTCTCACAGCAAGAGATTTAAGAATTCTTTCTCTATACAGACAAAATAATGTGCAGCCCAGCAAGATCCAGGAAACCCTGGGTATGCTTTCTACTGTGAAGAACAGAACTGTTAGTCTTCAGGACTTCGTGGACTTTGTTGAATTGTAGTTGTCCATATTCTAGGGTGCCCTTCTTTTCTTCCATCAACTTGACTAATGAAGTATATCTAGTATTTCCTTAACAGAGTTCTGGAATTACACTAGAATGTACATTAGGAAAACTGATGGGCAAGTGGAAATAGCTGGTGCTGAGGCCAGAGCTTGATGAACAATATCTGATCTGTGTGATTGTGGTTGAATCTGTTTTGCAAAACCTCTGTGAGAGCAAGGAAGAGATTTATGGAAAGCCACACCCATAAAGAGACTACTTGCAGCCGCATCTGCATTTGACTGGAACATGGCATGGAGACCTTCAGGGTGCTTGGTTAAAATCTAGAGGAATCTTGCAAATAGTGCAAATACTTTTGAGTACAATTTTATATTTTGTTAGTACTCAGATAGTATTTTTTAAAATAAAAGTTGTGGGGGGATTATATAGGTTTTGTGAAAGTTATTTTCCATTCATTGTTTGCAAGCAATATGTGGGCACTAAGGGCTGCTGGAAAAAGAGTTTTTCACTAAGTGAACTTATCCCTCTATAGATCACTAGCTGAGGTAGCACAGAAGTTCCTTGTCCCATAAAGGAAGAAGGAATTTTCCCCAACTGTTCCAAATCAGCAGTATATCTGCTCTGAAGGTGCACCCTGCAAAGGCTGAAAATCCTTAATCAGACTGTGCAATCTAGTAAAGATTACTGTACATCTAATAAAGAATGGAAAATATTGAAATACATCCCATTTCCACTTGAGAATCTTTTTAGATTGCACTCAAGTTTGACTAAGCTCGTAAGTGAATAGCCTGAGACCTTGAATATCAGATAATTTGTTCTGTCCTGTCTGGATCTCCTGTTAACCTTCTCTGACTCTATCTTTTCATGAAAAGTCTTTAGGTTCCTCTGGGCATATGTATGAAGTTGTGTTTTATTCATATGTTAGTAGTAGCATGTACCAAGGGAAGAAATACTAGGGGTAAATCACTGCCAGGTGAATGGAGTGTTGTTATTGCTTTCATTATTCCTAGCTAGATAATTTATGACAAATCTCAAAAAGCTGAGTGCACTGAGGAGGACATGTGTATGAGGGCGGCATGCCATGGTAGTCAGCAGGCTGGCTGTTAGCACAGATCTCCAAACACACTTCCTGAGATGACTATGACAAACAGTACTTGTGCTGTTAAAAGAATCATCTGGACTCTTGTCAGTGGGCTCTACAGACACTAGACATTGTTCCCAGATCAGTTCACAGACTTAGGAGAAGTTGTCTCTATAAAATGTAGCAATACAGATGCACAAGTAATATAGAAAGGAAACTAGCGACAACCCATAAAATTTCCTGAGCATGAATTAAACATTCGTTCCAGCTTCTCACCTTTTCAGGATAAGGCTATACAGGTAGCACTGGTTGGGAGGCAGTTGAGGCAGAGGTGAATGAGGACTCAGGAAGATGGTCTGACTTCTATGCCTAGACGGGCCAGAGCAGAAGACCAAGATGCACTGCCAGTGCTGTTGACAGGGCAGCTTTCCTGGAGATGTAGCAGGCCCAGCTGCTGGTGCTACTCCTCCCTGAAAAGGTAGTTGCTGCTGAGACTTGGTTCAGAGCAAGCAACTTGTGCAAGGAACAGTCTGCTTTGTTTTGGAAAGGCTGTGCTAGTAAAGAAAGTGTTTATCTACCTAGGCAGCTGTTTGAGATCTTCCTGAACAGAAGGCTCACTAAATAAGATGGCTCCATTTTGCTAAAAAGGCCATGTCTTGTATAATTGATGCAGAGGAGCTCAGCGCTCTATAGCCTAAGGGTCCTCAACCTTTCACCACTGGAGAATTAGAGGAATGTTTCTCAGGCCTTTCAGGGAATGCTGTTAATAGGGAACTACCATAATGATCAAACATCTGGGATTCTAATTTGAAAGCCTTGATGTTTAATTAATATTTCAAACCCCTAATCACCAGATAATCTGTCTTTGTTCAACTCAACACAGTGATAAAGAGACCATTCTATCCTGTGCTTTTTTCAACACATAGCAGTGATGGCTGCTATTTGCAGTTGTGGTAGTTGTAGCAAATAGACAATAAAGATGCTCAGATGAGTCTGAGATTGTTTCATTAGAGAAAATGTTTGCTAAATGGATTTTAAGGTCTGGAAGTTATTGACCTACAGAGAAAGCTGTAAGAAACACACAACTTGTTGGGAAAGATTTAAATATCATGTAAGATCCTTCATGATGCAGTTCTTTGAATACAGAGAAATTGTAACACAACAATCTAATATGAAAAAAAGGTTTATTCCTTATGCCTTCATTTATTCCTTTGTGCTTATTTTGTTCTATAAAAATGTTCTGAAGATTTACTAATCAAGTTGGTCAATGGTTGGCAAGTTTATATACTATTATCAGAGTAAAAGAGTATGGACTACTAATAATGTTTACCATCTGTACAGTAGATGACATTGTAGATAAAGTTACAGGGAAAAGTAAGTATCATTATCTTCACTTTGCAGTTGAGCAAAAAGATGCACAGACAGTTTAGGATGCTCACCTCAGGTTGTATAATAACATGAGGGAATGCAGCATGCATACCAAGGGTCCAGCTGCCAGTCCAATGGGCCCATCACTGAAGCATGCTAATGTTGTTTGTCTCCAGGATAATACAACAGCAGTGTTACTTGTTCCCATTTTGTGCTTATGTAACTCTTCTGAAGAGTGAATTGTTACAGGACCTGAATAAAGTTTGCATTATTTCTGATCAGTGACAAACCTGGTCCTCAACACTGTGCTCAACAGCTTGAAGGTGTATGTCTGGGATGATCATAGAATCATAGAATGGTTTGGG